TTCTCCCCGCCCCGCCGTCGAGGCCGCCTGTCTCAGGGCCTCGGTCAAGTGCCGCCCTGGCGAGGCGCCCCTGTCGGGTCGGTCGGGAGAGCCCGCTGCTCCTGGGCCTCGCAGCGTGGCGTCGTCTTCGCCGGGGGGCGTCGCTGGAGGGAGCGGCCCTGCAGCGCGTGCCCTGGCCAACGCAAAAGCCAGGGGCAAGTGTGCGCGCGTGGGCGAGGCCCCCGCGGGGCACGCGGCCGCGTTCCAGGCGCCCGATGAGACTGCCGCCTCGCTGGTCGCCGCCGCCGATGCGGAGTTGCGCCAGCATCGGGCGTTGCCCGCTGCCGCTGCCACCGGCGGTGCCCTCGGTTCGGCGGAGTTGACTCTCGCCGCCGCGGGCCCGTCTGAGCCAGCGAGAGTGGCTGCGCGGCCGCGTCGAGCTCAGCCATCGCGGTGGCGCGCGCGCCTCCGCCGCGGCTAGCTTCTTTGCGCGGGCCCCCCCCATGCGTTGCCTGCAGGGGGGGCCAAGCTCCTGGCGCGAGGACCGGTGCGGGCGTCGCGCGCTGCAGGCGCGGGGCAGCGGGCCGCCGCGAGTCGCGGGCCCTTCCACTTGAGCGCCGCGCACGCCGCGCGGCGAACCGATGGTGCTTCGCTTCGCTGAAGGTGGGTGCAACGGCGCTCCCAGTGGGCAGAGGGGCCGCAGCTGCCCTCCGCCCCTCTCGCGAGCCCGGGCCCGCCGCCCGCGGCTGTCCCTGGCGCACCCCTCCGGCTGGGCCCGCCGCCCCTGGCGGCCTCCCTCCGCGCGGGCGCCCGCGGGGGTCCGCCCCGAGCCCGCTCCTGCGAGGAGGCCAGCGCCAGCGGTGGGCCCCTTCGAGGCCCCTCGCCCGCGCCCGACCCCGCGGGCGCCCCCGCCGCGGCCACCGAGCCCTGGCCGAGCGCCCGGCTGGGAGGCGCGGGCCAGGGCCCTGGTGCCGACTGCGGGCTCCTTGGCCCGCGCCGCCTCGTTGGCGCCTGCCACGGCGGCTCGGGCAGCTACCTCGGCATCTGAGCCTCTCGGGTCGGATTTCGATCCGGACGGCCCCCGGCGGAGCTGGGCGGCGTGTGGCCTGTGGGGGGTCCCGACTGACTGCCACCTGTGAGCTCTCCTTCGGCGCGCGGTCTTTGGGGGCGAGTATCTCTCCCTTGTGAAGTGGGGCGGGAGCTGCGTCGCGTTTTCGCGCGCGTGGCTCCCGTGGCGCGCCCCCCGGGGCGGCTGCCTCCGGCCCTGCGCCGGAGGGCCGCCCCGGCGGCGCCGGCCATCGCCTGGGTTGAAAGGGTCCGCGAGCCGTTTGATTGGATCAGGCTTGAAGGCGGTTGTTTTCTCCCCTCGGCGGTCGAGGCTGCCGCGCGCCGCGTCGCCTGCTGTGCGTCGCCTGCTGTGCGGACTTCTCTTGTGTCTTTGCGGGCGAGGGCGCGTCCGTCGACTCAGGCCTCGAGTTCGACGTCTCCCGCTGTATTTCGCTTCGCGGAGGAAGCAGTGTCGCCGCGATGTTGGTGGCGAGGAAGTGCGGTGCAGGTATTGCTTCTTGGCTGCTCCTGCGGTGCGCGTGTTGCCTCTGCATTTTCCATGCGGTCCCGCGCGCGCCGCCGCTGCGGCCGTTCTCGCAGCATCGGCCCGCGGGCTTCGCCTAGGCCGTCCTCGCGCCTCGCGCGCCCCTTGGCGCGCAATTTTCATCTTGCTGCTCCCCACCTTGATCGACCATCGAAATTGGTCGATGCCTCCGAGCTGTGGCTCGTGGGGCCCTCGCGTAATTAGCCTGGTGCGCGCCTTCCCTGGCATCGAGGCCGCGCGCCCTCGCTGGCGTGCCTTCCTGTTGGGAGCCGGGTGTGTCGCCGAGCAGTGGAAGTTGGCCGAGCCTCCGAAGCTCCGTCTTCGGCTGCCCCGCGCGTTTCTGCTTGCAGTGTTTGGCTTTGGTCTACTACTCTTGGACTGGCTGCTGACGGCGGCGCCGCTGCTCATGGGTTTCACCGGGCCCCCCTGGCCTGGGGGGCTTTTGGGGGCTCGCCCCTGTGACCTTTCGCTGCCTAGCGATCTGCTTGAATCTGGCGGTGGCGCCCTTCTTTCCATGCTCGCGCCGAAGACCCGTGGGACATGCCCAGCCCAGCATGCTCGCTGCTTGGGCAGGTCTGCGGTGAAGCTGCTCGAACAGGTGTTTCGGACTTTGCGCCCCGCCGATCCGCTCACGCCCTTCGGGCAGAGCGGCTCCAGTGTCGGGTGGTCGGGTGGGGCCATCTGCTTGCGGCTTTGGGCGCCCCGCTTGCCAGGGCGGCCTCAGGGTTGAACCGCTTCGCCTGCATGCCTGCGGGTTCCAGGGGCGACTGACTTATGCGTGGCCGCGAACGACGTTCCTCGCGTCTTCTGGCCTGGACGGTGGTGCGCGCGGAGCGCTATCTGCAGGCTGCCGCCGTGTCGTCAGTTTGAACCGCCCCTCCTGCATTTGCGCGAACGCGCATTGCTTGGCGCGCCACTGCTAGCGACCGCTAAGTCGCTTCCGTCCTCGCCGCCGCCCGCCGAAACGTTGTCACTGTGCCAGGGCTTCGAGCAAGAGTCGTAGGGCTGCCTCGCCGACTCTGGAAATCTGGTGGACTCCACCGCCTGAGCGGCGCCGCGCAGCCCGCGCGCGCTAGACGGCCCCGCCCCATTCTGACCATCCCGACGCGCGCGCGCCTCGGCGGCTGCCCGGAGACACCTCGCGGGCGCCGATGCGGGAGAACGACCTTTCTGATCCTCCTCGCCTCATGCGGCCTAGCTGTCCATGCGGCGTCTCTGCCTCCCGCCATCTCCCCCTTAGGTTTACGAGGGCGCGGAAGGAATCTGAACAGGGGCCGCCTGTCCTCTAGATGGCGAAAGAATTCGGCTGCTTGAGGCCTGGTGCAGCAAACGCGGCTTATGATTGGCGTGCATGCGGGATGCGAGCCGAAGAAGGCAATTACACCCCTCAGAAGATGAACTGCATCCGGACCTTGAAAAGTACAAGAGAGCAGAACTGCCCAACGTATGTAGCCACCCAACTGGAATACCTGAGCACATATGAATCGGCAGTGCTGGGACTGCCGCATGAGCGGAAGAGGGGCAGGCTACTTCCTCCGTTCCGTGTACGGCTGAGGCCAGCCAGATATGGATCCAGCATCGGCTTCAACGTGCCAACAGGAAGGCTTCCCTGACGAAGCCCCCCCCCCCGGTGTGCACTGGATCGTGGATGATTTTTGGCGCGTGCAGATGGCCCTGACGGTTCTCGCCCCGGTGCGTGGCAGGATGTGCCGCCAACTGCACTCCCAGCAGCAGGCTCCAGGAGCGGGTGCCGAGAATTCGAGGTACATTCAGGCTGCAAAAGTGAATCAGCGCCTGGACGTAGAGCAAGTGCCCGAGCGGGCTCTGCAGCAAAATTACCCCCGAGGTCTGCGATTGGGCCGGCTGCGCCTGCTGGGGGTGGTATTGCTTCAGCGAGAGGCTAAGGGAAAATCAGGAGGAGGAGGAGAAAGCACTGGACCATCATCTGCCGCCTGTTTGGCAGCCCAGCGCTTCTCCTTCTCGCGTAGACGTTGGGCTCGATGCACAGCTCGTCGCTTTTCAACATGTGTGCAGGATCGTCGGATTCTTCAGCTTTGCCCTGTGCATCCTGAGCTCGCTCCTTGTGCAGAGTCGCTGGCGGAGAGGGCCGTGCAGCCGCAGACCGCACAGTGCCCGCAACCGCAGCAGCCGCGGCAGCAACAGTGCCCCTCGGCGCGTGCTCCCGAATCGCCGCTTGCACAGCCGTCGCCATAAGGGAGGGGCCATCAGCAGCTGTGGCGCTCTTCTATGTCCAGCAAGGGGAGGCCTGGTGGGGCCCGTTTAAACAAAGGCGCGCCCGCGGTGCTGCTGCTTCGCCAACTTTGGCGATCTGATTGGCTCCAACACCGGAGCGGCGCCGCGCGGCCCGCGCGCGCCAGGCGGGCACGCTCCATTCTGCCCCCCTCGACGCGCGCGCGCCGCGGCGGCCGCGCGGAGGCAGCACTCCAGCGCCGTTGCGAAATAAGGATGATGATCATGATGCTGCTGTTGCTGCTGCTGCTGATGATGATGGTGATGATGACGATGATGGTTGTAGTAATTATGTTTAAGATGACGATGATTCTGATGATGCTGATCATGGTCATGAACATGATGGTCATGGTCGTGGTAACGATTTTGAAAATGATTATGGTGATGCCGATGATGGCGTTGGTAATGACGACAATGTGGTCCTGACTCAGACGCTGTTGATAAGGACGGTGGTGAAGACGACGATGCTGATGATGCTGCTGCTGCTGATGACGGTGATGGTGCTGATGATGATGACGAGGAGGAGGAGGAGGAGGAGGAGGAGGAGGAGGAGGAGGAGGAGGAGGAGGAGGAGGAGGAGGAGGAGAGGAGGAGGAGGAGGATGAGGAAGAGGAGGAGCAAGAGGAAGATGAGGATGAGGAGGAGGAGGAGGAGGAGGAGGAGGAGGAGGAGGAGGGAGGAGGAGGAGGAGGAGGAGGAGAGGAGGAAGAGGAGGGAGGAGGAGGAGGAGGAGGAGGAGGAGGAGGGGGAGGAGAGGAGGAGGAGGAGGAGGAGGAGGAGGAAGAGGAGGAGGAGGAGGAGGAGAAGGAGGAGGAGGAGGAGGAGGAGTGGTCACTACAGCGATGCAGCAGACGCGATCAGTGGCCTTCGCCGGCCGCCCTCCCGTGCCGCAGGCAGCGGCCCTGCGCTCCGCCGCAGCTCTTTCCCGCCCAGGGCCACCGCCCGGGCCCAGGCCTCCGCCGTGGCGGATCCTGCTTTGGGCCCCTGAGGGTTTGACGATTTTTCTCCTTTAGGTTTGCGGGGATCAATCCAGGCAGGTCGAGGTATATCGAATTGGGCCTATCCCAGTGCATCGATCTTTAGGGAAGTGTGGCGCAAGTCGTGGACGCTCCAGGGAGCGTCGAGGGAGAGCAGAGCTCGTTCAACCCTTACCAATTGGGGCGCCGCTGCTGGGCGGGCCATGAGCGCCGCGGAGGCGCGCGGCGGCGTGGTGGTCGCGTTTCAGGGCGAGCGCGGGGCCTACTCGGAGGCGGCGGCGCTGCAGCTCTTCACGGGCGCGCTCGGCGAGGGCGCGCAATGCCTGCAGTACCGCGGCCTTCCGAGTTTCCCCGAGGTCTTCGCCGCCGTGCACAAGGGCAGCGCCATGTACCCAGCTCCTCGACGATGTGTTTTTTTCAAGCTGGGTGGTGTTTCTGAATTTCGAGCCCGAGGCCCGTTGTCGGGCCCCGGGTTGATCGAAAACGGATCCTGGGCGTAAAAGTGACCCCGAGGAATGAATTTTGGATTTCGGGGGCCGCGGCTTGAGCGAGTCACATCGGCGGAATGTCGAGGTACGGCGTGGTGCCCGTGGAAAACACCCTTGGCGGCTCGATCCACGCCAACTACGACCTGCTGCTCAAGTATAACGACCTGCACGTCGTCGCGGAGCTGGACTTCCACGTGCGGCACTGCCTGATAGGCACCCCTCGGGTGGCCCCCCAAATGCAACACACACACATATATATATACACACAACATATAGCAAGTGAGCAAGACACATAGAACAGAGGTACTCCTGGCGTGCCGCGCGGCGAGATCACCGAGGTGATGTCGCACTGGCAGGCGCTCGCACAGTGCGACAGCTACCTGCAGGCGTGGGGCGTCCAGAAGAAGGTTGCGTACGACACTGCAGGGAGCGTCAAGATGATCAAGGAGGAGGGCCTCAGACACGCGGCCGGCATCGCGAGCGCACTCGCTGCAGAGGTGTACGGCATGGAAATCATTGCCAGAAACATCCAGGACGTCGAGTTCAACCATACGCGATTTCTGATGATCAGCCGGGAGCCCTGCGCCATTCGACAAGTGTCTGTGCTGCAGAGCGTCAAGACCACAGTTGTGTTCTGGCTGCCACACACTCCAGGCGCTCTGTTCAAGGCGGTGGCCGCCTTCGCAATGCGGGACATCGAGGTCGTCAGGACCGAATCGAGGCCGGTGCAGCCAAAGCTCTTCAAGGAGTTCGAGGAACATATCAGGGACAAGGTGTCCGCGGGCCTCTATCCAGTTGCCTGCGGGAAGTTCCGCCGCAGTGCCAGCGCAACACTCTGTGTGGCGATTCTAGGAGGGCTGCATCAATGGACGCCTCGCTTCTCTCGTGGCCCTCTTGGGGCTCTCCTGGCCTGTCCTGAGCCCCTCTCGGGCCTTCTTGGGCCCTCTTTGCTTTCTCGGTCCCCCGTCGGGCTTTTTCGGGCCCTCATTGGGCTCTTTTGGCATCCTGTGTCTGTTCGAAGGCTCTCCGTGAATTTTTTTAGGGAAGAGAGCTGGGAAATGTGTTATATATGCATATATATATGTATATATATATACACACAACAACGCAACAAGCAGAATCCTCACCACGGATTCTCATTTTAGCCACGCACCCAGGGACAATGAATGACCGTTCGGCCCCCTCACTCTGATATACACATATTCTCGAGCATTCGGATCTCCTAATATTCTCAGGTATTTAAAAATGATCTTGTCCTTACCGGAAGGCCTCTCGGCCTTCGCGTTGGTGTCTGGTAAGCCTCTTGCCGCCTCTTTTGCGCTTCTTGCTCCTTCCTGCGGATGCCAAGAAATTCCCTGCTTGCCTCCAGGGTGCCCTGGGTTTCTTGGGTTTCTTGGGTTTCGATGGTTTTGATGTGTTTCTTGGGTTTCGATGGTTTTGCTGTGGCAGGCGTGACGTTCCCACACCAAACATCGATGGACGTCCTGGGGTCTCAGGGTTGAATTTCTTGTGGAAGGTTCCTTGTGGAAGGGCCCCTACTGTCGAAGCTTGACAGGAGCCGTGCCACGCAGCACTGGGCAGTCTACCACGCTTCCACGTGCATGATGGCACGGTGGCGGCTATGTTCTACCTCGACATCGCAGCCAGCGCGCACTCCGAGGAGATGCAGAACGCGCTCGAGAACCTGCGGGAGATCACTCCCTACGTGCGGGTGATCGGGCCCTACCCCACCGGAGGCACGATCACAACGGACGTGGTGCTGAGGACCAAAGCGGTCATGCCCGATCCCGCCTCGCTTCGCGCCAAGGCCAAGACCGCCGGCATGCGCATCGGAGTTCTCGGGCTTGGCAGGTTTGGCCGGTTCTTGGCGAAGAGGCTGAGCAAGAACAACGAGGTGTTCGTGACGAGCGTCGAGGCCGAGGCGTCGGCCGAGGCGGATGAGCTCAGCTGCCGGTGGCTTCCCTGGGACACCGCGGTGCGAGAGATGCTCCTCTCTCACGCCGTGGAAGTGCTTGTGATAGCAACGTCGATCGGATCCTTTGCCGAGGTTCGGGCTGGACGAAACCGGGGGTGGAATGGGAAGGGGAGGTTGCGAAATCTCTTGCGTGCAGCTGGTTTCGGCCCCGCCGCAGGGCGCTTTACTCGACACAGTGGCGCCGGGGGCGCTGGGATGCGCTGGGGACACCAGCTGCATGCAGCTGGTTCGCCTCAACCCCGTCTTTGCTAATGCTTTCTTTCGCCCGCTCTGGAAGGTGGTCGGAGGTCTTCCACTGGACGCCATCAGGAAGGCCAAGCCTCTCGTAGTGGACGTCTTGTCAGTCAAGAGCTACCCGAAGCGGGTCATGCTCGGATGCTTGGCCAAGGAGGGCTGCGACCTCCTGTGCACGCACCCGATGTTCGGCCCGAACAGCGGCAGTGGTGCGTGGCACGGGCTACCTTTTGTCTTCGAGATCATCAGCGCCCAGCACGACTATGGGAGGGTGAAGAAATTCCTCTCGATCTTCGAGGGCGAGGGATGCCGCATGGTGGCGATTCCATGCGAAGAGCACGACAAGCAGACAGCCCCCTCGCAGTTCATCACGCATCTCACAGGCCGCGTGCTCAGCGCGACCGGCTGTAAGCCCTCGCTGATCGACACCGTGGGCTTCCAAAACCTCTGCACCATAGCCGAGCACGTAGGCCAGGATGGAGTTGACCTGTTCCGAGGTCTCTTCAAGTACAACGCGAACTCCATCCAACAGCTGAGCATGTTCAAGCAGGCCATCTCGGAGGTCGAACGGCAGCTGCAACGGCGTGTGGACTTGGAGGCGTCAGGCAAGATGGGTGCCGCACCGCCCTTGGGACTCAGCTCGACGATCGAGAGAATATCGGAGTCGAAGACTGCTGCGATACAAGCACTGAGCCAGAAGCTCAAGGAGGAGGGACACAAAATCAACGATGCGCTGTGCGTTGGCGAACCTGGCTACGCTCCCCCACCAGAAGTCCTCGCAGCTCTTCGCACCGCACCTCGAGAAGGCCACACCAAGTACTCCGTCGTGCAGGGTGACCTGGAGCTCCGCAAGGCGATCTGCGAGGACCTGCGATGCCGGAAGGGCGTGGACTACACGCCCGAGCAGATCGTCGTCTCCTGTGGCGGCAAGCAGAGCATCTATCAGGCGATGCACGCGGTGCTGGGGGATGGCGACGAGGTCTAGCATCGTGTACCTTATCCCTGTCCCTACTGGGCCATGGTATCTCAGCCCCACCAGTCCGCCCTCCTACGTGGGGATAGGCCATTCGAAATCCTAAGGGGCAGGCGTATATCCCCACCTATGTAGGTAAGTCGGCCAGTGGGACCAAGGCCACGCAAGTGGGGATAGGGATCGGTTAGACGATGCTCAGAGGTCCTGGTGCCGACGCCGTGTTGGGTGAGCTACCACGACATCGCCCGGCTGTGCGGGGCGACACCGGTGCCTGTGGTCACGAGGGGTGAGGACGGATACGTGCTACAACCAGGTGCCCTCGCCGAGGCGCTGCATGCCTCAGGCAGCTTGTGCCGCATGGTCGTCCTCTGCAACCCTTGCAACCCTACTGGCGCTGCGATCCCGCCAGAGCAGCTAGAGGCGCTTGCCGAGGTGCTCGAGAGGCCAGAATTCTCCCACGTTTGGGTGCTGGCGGACGAGATTTATGAGAGGATCGTTTACGACACGGAGCACGTATGCTTCGCCGCGCTGCGGGGCATGAGGCGTCGGACGCTCCTCATCAATGGCTTCTCGAAGGGCTACGCCATGACGGGCCTGCGGCTGGGCTACCTCGCGGCTGCGCATGAGGGCGTCGCCGTGGCTGCCAACAAGCTGCAAGGCCAGATCACTTCCTGCGCCTCAGTCGTTGTGCAGCGGGCAGCATTGGCCGCGCTGCGTGCGGGGCCCGCAGTAGACGAGTGGGCGACGAAGAGACTGGAAGAGCTGCGGCAGAAGCGCGACTTCGTGATGGGCCGCCTGTCCGCGATGGAGGGGGTTTCGTGTGTCACACCGCAGGGGGCATTCTATGCTCTCCCAGATGTGACGAGGCTGCTTGCCAGGCGAGGTTCCAGCGTAGACACCTCCGAGGACTTCTCGTGCCTGCTTCTCAGAGACTACAAGGTCGCGCTCGTTCCTGGGAGCGCCTTCCACGCCGAGGGGACGGTGCGAATATCGTACGCCTGCAAGATGGAGGATCTGGAGGCGGCGATGGACGCGTTCGCGAAGTGTGTGAACGAGCTGAAGGCTGCTTGAGGGACGCCCGCCCCCCTGTCGCGTCGGCCGCAGTGGAGCTGGAGGCCGGCGCAGCCGCGCGGCCTGGAGGCCAGCGGACGCACGGCCGCGCGTGCCGCGCCAGCAGGAGCAGTCGAGCCGCGCGCGCCTGCCCTCTGCACGAGCGCCGCCGCGGACAAGGCGCCTCTGCTCGCCGTCGGCGCCTTTGGGCAAAAAGTAGGATGATGCTCTCGGCATCGTTCCACTGATCCCCGTCCATGCTGGGCCATGGCATCCCAACCGCGCGCCAGCCCACCCGCTGCCTCCTGGGCACCTAGGCACAGTCCGGCACAGCCACCAGCAAGAGCATGCCCGTCGATCGGGGGCCCTGGCCTCGTGTGCAAGATCCAGGGAGGCAGAGCACTTGGGGCAGAGGGAGTGGCCCGCCCGATACCCTCCCGAGGGCCCAATGCCTTTCTGGCTGCGCGCGCATTGGAAGGGACCTCTCAAGCTTTCGTCAGGCCTGCGCAGTGTCCATATGAGCAAGAGCGCAGCTGAGCGCAGGAGGGCGTGCAGGCAGTTGCGGAGCTCGGGCATGCAGAAGCAAGGTGCGGACAACGCTGGGCCCGCAGTCTCCGTGCTGGCTCTGTCCCCAGAGTTTTTGGCGTTCGGACGCACCCTGTGCCGGGCAATGGGCTTATCCCGAGGGCGGGGACTAGGCTGCCCGCGCGGAGTGCGCTCAGAACCTCTGGTCCCCCCGTCCGGGCAAGCGCGCCTCGGAGCGCCGACGCTCCACCAGCTGAGAAGGAGGAGGAGCATGAGGATGAGGATGGAATTGAGTTTCGGGAGGAGGAAGAACAGTGGAAACCCAAGAGTCATCAACGATTTTGAAATTCCCCCTCCCTCCAAGCTCCCTGTTTATAGGGCCCTACAACAGTTCATTTCCACAGGGAACTCCCTCGTTGGAAGACACCCGCTTGAAGACCCTGAAGCATGCAATCACATTCTACCCAGGACCTCAATGCCACGGATCAACTTGATTTTTGCGTCTTGACGATCCAGAATAATGTCCGAACGCTGTTCCTGGGACTTCAACACCTCAAGGCAACGTAACTGTTGCACCCTTATAAACCTGAGTCTTTCCATAACACCATTTCTGGTACGTTGATCTGGGAACCCGTGAGGTTCTAGCAGTTTGCAAAACAATGTGCGCGGCGCTCTGGCGAGAGCCAAATTTTGAAAACCACCCGCTCTCAATCCGTGAAGCTCTTGCGAATCTTAAAACATTATGCGCGCGGCGCTGAGGCCAGAGCCACATTTTGAAAACCACCCGTTCTCAATCCGTGAAGCTCGTGCGAATTTCCAAAGCGAATGTGCGCGGCTCTCAGGCGAGAGCTACATTTGACAAACCTTTCGCCCTCATTCCGTGAATATCTTGCACATTTTCAAGACGAGCGTGCGCTGCGCCAAGGCGAGAGCCAGATTTTGACGATCACCGCCATCAATCGGTGAAGGTCTTGCAATTCTCATCAAAAGGAATTTGCGCGGCGCTGAAGCGAGAGCCAGATTTTGAAGATCACCGCCCTCAACCTGTGAAATCCTTCAGATTTTCAAAGCGAATGTACGCGGCGCTAAGGCGAGGGCCACATTTTGAAAACCACCCGCCCTCAATCCGTGAAGCCTTTGCAAATCTTTAAACATAATGCGCGCGGCGCTCAGTCGAGAGCCACATTTTGAAAACCACCCGCCATCAATCCGTGAAGCTCGTGCGAATTTCCAAAGCGAATGTGCGCGGCTCTAAGGCGAGAGCCACAATTTGAAAACGACCCGCTTCCAAGTGGTCAAGCTGTTGCCATTTCTTGCCTCAGGGTCATAAGTGCTGAGGAAGTCTCAGGCGAGGCGCCCGGCCTGCCTTAAAAACTGGCTTCGGGGTGCGACAGGGAAAGGTTATCTATAAGCAAAAGTAATGGCGAAGGAGGAGGGGGAGGAGGAGACAACGGTTCAGTTTCAGTGAAGGAATTGCCTCGTTGGAAGACAACCGTCTGAAGACTCTGAAGCACGCAACAACATTTTCCTCGGGGCCCCAACGCCACGGATCAACTTGACAGTTGCGTCTTGACGATCCTGAACCGTGCCAGAACGCTACTTGTGGGACTTCAACACTTCAGATCTACGTAACTGGTGCACCCTTACGACTTTGTTTTTTTTCCAAAACGCAGTTTCTGGTATGTTGATCATGGGAATCCGTGAGATTCTTGCAAATTAAACAAAATGCGTGCGGCGCTAAGGCGAGAGCCACATGTTGAAAAGAAACCGCCCTCAATCCCTGAAGCTTTTGCAATTTTCAAAACGAATGTGCGCGGCGCCAAGGCGAGAGCCACATTTTGAAAACCACCCGCCTTCAATCCGTGAAGCTCTGGCAAATCTTTGAACCGAATGCGCGCGGAGCTAAGGCGAGAGCCACATTTTGAAAACCACCCGCCCTCAACCCGTGAAGCTCTGGCAGATTTTTTCCAACGAGTTTTCGCGGCTCTAAGGCGAGAGCCGCATTTTGAAAACCACCCGCCCTGAATCCGTGAATGTCCTGCATAATTTCAAGACGATTGTACGCGGCGTGAAGGCGAGAGGCATGTTTTGAAAACCGCCCTCCCTCCATCAGTTTTTTGTTGTTGTTGTTGCTGTTGTTGTTGTTGTTGTTGTTGTTGTTGTTGGTGTGTGTGTGTGTGTGTGTTTTGCTTGTTTTTTGTTGCTGTTGTTGTTTCTTTCATCCTTATAGAAGCTTTCCAAACGAATGTGCGCGGCGCTAAGGCGAGAGCCACATTTTGAAAACCACCCGCCCTCAATCCGTGAAGCTCTTGCACGTTTTCAAGACGAATGTGCGTGGCGCTCAGGCGATAGCCACATTTTCAAAACCATTCGCCCAAACTCCGTGGAGCTCTTGCACATTTTCAAGACGAGTGTGCGTGGCGCTACACCGGCAGGCACATATAGGAAAGGAACCGCCATCAATCCGTGAACCTCTTGCGGTTTGCATCAAAACGAATGTGCGCGGCGCCAAGGCGAAAACCACATTTTGATAACGGCCCGCCCTCAATCCGTGCATTTCTGGCAAATGTTTAAAACGAATGTGCGCCGCGCTAAAGCGAGAGCCGCATTCCGAAAACCAGCCGCCGTCCATTTGTGAAACGGTGGCAAAATTTTTAACTTCAGGGTCATAAGTGGTGAGGCAGTCTCAGGCGAGACGCCCGACCCGCGTAGAAAGTGGCCTCGGGGTTTGACAGGGAGAAGTTGTTTATAATGAAATGGAATGGAGGAGGAGGAGGAGGAGGCGGATGAGACCGAGGCGGAAGAGGATGACGATATACATGTGTGTGTATATATATATGTGTTTATATATATATATATGTATATACATACATATACAGGTATCTGTATGTATGTAGATATTTATGTACATATCGGTGGATGGGTATATGTTGTTGTGTGTGTTTGCTGTGTATAGTTTTGTATATGTTTACGTATATGTGTTTGTCTATGCATATGAATATGTATATGTAACTGTATTTGGTTATGAGTATATGTATATATATATAGCAGACCTTTATGGTTACCGATCTATGTATAAGTATATGCATATGTATGTGTATATGTATATGTACGTATATACATGTACATGTTTCTGTATATGTTTTCGCAGGTGCGTATCAATATATGTATCCGGGTATGTCATTGTGATGTTTACGTATATGTGTATATACATGTGTATATGTATGCATTTGTTTATGTATACGTTGTTGACATTCACATGTGTATATGTACATGAAATTGTATATGCATTTCCCACGTATATGTGTACTCGAATATATATACATATATGTATGTATATAGGTGTACACATTCTTACGTGTATGTATATGTATATGTATACGTGCATGTATATGCATATTCAGTTGCACACACAAATATTCATATGTATGTATGTATGTATGCGCACATGTTTTTCTATTTATAAGTATATGTACATAAACATGTACATGCGTGTGTACATGTGTACGTGTATGTATTTGTATGTGTATATGTTTATGTATATGTATATTTATGTGTGTATGTACATATGTATTTTATATTCGTATATGTTCATGTACATGTATGTATTTGTGTATCTATGTAGATGTGTATATATAAATATGTATATATGTATAAATAAATACATCCATACATATATATATAATTATTTATGTATGCATGTATGTATGTATGTATGTATGTATATATATATATACACGTATGCGTCGGCAGAAATTCCTCTTGAGCTCGAAATGTCGGAAGCGACGCGCCGTTCAGGTGAGCGGATACATGTTGTGCTCTCGTCGGCTTGGGGCGTGCTATCTGTTATGGGAGGAGATGCGAGAAGTGGCCGGGCCCGCTGTAGACCCTCCCCTCCGGTATAAGCATCTTTTTGGTCAGCAGATCCACAGTTACGTGGATAGCATGATGCTCCACGTGCTGTGCCCCGCGGATCCGGGGGGTCCGGGATGTTTATTATTATTATTACTATAATTTTATTTTTCCCAACCATCCTGTGTTGGGTCCTCGTTTTGAGGAAACGATCCCCGCGTTCTCCTCGTTTCCTCGTGCCCCCCCCTCCTCCTACCGTCCGCATGCGTCCCGCACACCCAGTACAGCGTTTCGTGGCCCCACAGGGGGCCCCACCGAAGGTCCCACTGCTACCGTCCGCATGCGTCCCGCACACCCAGTACAGCGCTTTGTGGCCCTCCTCCCCCTCCTCCCTGCGTTTCACCCACCCAGTACAGCGTTTCGTGGCCCCATAGGGAACCCCACCGAAGGTCCCAGTGCTACCGTCGGCATGCGTCCCGCACACCCAGTTCAGCGTTTCGTGGCCCCATAGGGAGCCCCACCGAAGGTCCCAGTGCTACCGTCCGCATGCGTCCCGCACACCCAGTACAGCGTTTCGCAGTCCTCCTCCTCCTCCTCCCTGCGTTTCACCCACCCAGTATAGCGTTTCGTGGCCCCATAGGGAGCCCCACCGAAGGTCCCAGTGCTACCGTCCGCATGCGTCCCGCAGACCCAGTACAGCGTTTCGTGCCCCCATAGGGAGCTCCACCGAAGGTCCCATTGCTACCGTCCGCATGCGTCCCGCACACCCAGTACAGCGTTTCGCGGCCCACCGCCTCCTTCTCCCTGCGTTTCACCCACCCAGTGCAGCGTTTCGT